TGCTGAATTTTTCAGACATAAATAGTTTTTTTCTGTAGATATGTGCTTTTAAGCATTAGAGGAAGGGACACATTCTAAGTGATGAAGATTTAAATATTACTGTAGTCAAGCTTATGGTCCATATCTAGACTGGTGCATATATATTTTTTTTAATTATGTGCCATGTTTCAGCTAATCAGTACAATTTCTAAATGGAAGCTTAGTGATTATTGCAATTATGAGATCTCTATGGTGAGGCAATTATCTCTGTTAATTGCTAAATCAAGCAACTTTATCATTTAATCTGAATCAATTCCTAATACTGCCTATTAAAATGTTCACTAGAGAAAACATGTGCCTAACTCCTCTCTAGTGAGAATTAATTATGTCAATACCAACTTCCAGTGTAATTTCTTTATTTAAAAACATGGTATCTCAATCCTTTTGCGGATGGCAAAAACTGAAGCAACTGGTTGCAATCCAGAAACTGTAAAATGAAAAAAAAAGAGACACAAATAATAAATTTGTAAACATATGTGTATTTATATATGTGTACATGTATATATGTAAATAAAATAGCTGGGATGTAAGTGGGAGTATTGGAAACTATGTTGGAATGATATTTTTGCCTTACTCTTTCACAAGCAAAGTTAATATGCTTTTAAATGATACTTAACACAGTTGGTGATAAAGCTAAGGTAATGATGGCATTATTATTATTATTATTATTATTACCTTGTGTTCTTTGTGCCTTGAAACAGGGAAACACCTTTGCATCAACTTTACTCATCTGCATTCAGCAAGCGAAAGCTTGAAATCTATCCAACCAAGAAGCCAGCACTGCCATTTGGAGACCTGCCCCCAGGGTACCAACATCTGCACACTCAGCTTCAGTATGAGTGCATTTCTCCTTTTTACCGCCGCCTGGGTAGCAGCAGGAGGACTTGTCTGAAGACAGGAAAATGGAGTGGGAGAGCCCCTGTGTGTATTCCAAGTGAGTCTCCAAGGGAAAAAAAATGCATACAACTCTAGGTTGATGGGGGGATCAGGATGTGTATTCATCTTAGATAATTAGGGAGTCCCAGTGGTGTAGGCTGGCTATGCTTCCAGCTGGGAGATAAGAACAATAAAACTTGGAGGATATATGGCTCTTTGTATCCATCAGTAAAACTTGTGCAGTTGATGGCAAAGGGATCAAGGTTTCAGCACTCTAATTTGCCATCAATTTTTCTACTCTTTTATTGAGCAAAAGGCGTAGTGAGTTTTTTTCCTGATTTGAAAATATTTTCCTACTATCACTTCATGTTTTCCTGTATTACTTACTGCAAATGTGATTTTTCTTTCATCTCTATACTTTGGCACACAGCTGACAAAAACATCAAAGTTTATGCAATAGAATGGAGAGTCTGCATTTTAAAGAGGTTCTTCCTTTAATACACCCTGCTAAGGAAGAGTTCATATTGCAAACTGTAAGTCCAGATAAAATCTTATCCAGAGCTAGTGCACTGAGTAAGTCAGGATAGGAACATAAGATTTGGTACAATCCACTACTGACATCAGGCAAACTGTGAAAAGTAGATCCTAACATCAAGCAAACATTTAGATTTCTTGTTTGTGGTCTTGCTTTCAGATCATCTCATGTATTGAAAAGTATTCCATTCAATCCCTTTCACTATGGACATGCACACAAGACATCCCAGGAAAAAAAATATCCTAAGGGAGACTAAAAAAAATGTGACCACATGATGTAACTCTTTCTACTGAAGTAAACCTTTCCTAATACAGGAGGTTTTACCCCAGGTCTGAGCCCCGGTAATATATTCCTAGAACAGGGCAGAGCTTTTTCTTTTCCCCAGGTTGGCTGTTGTTAGAGATGCATTTGTGTCAAGGTTCTTGTTGCAAGACAAGTCTGTTCTCATAGGCATGAACTCTTCTGCGATAAGGTCAGTTCTAGGAGAGGACCTTACAATTACTCTGTGACTGCTTAGGGTGAGTTTTAGTGTGCTGCTTTCCAGTGTTTTATTATAAGCAAGAATCAGAGGTGTTCTTTCCATTTCTTTATGCAGTCATCTCATTATAGTGCAGCTTGATAAGGCTGTCATGAAAATTTACGTGCTCAAGTGCTAAATCCACATTCCTACTTCAGCCAGAAATTCAGATAAATAATGGAAAAATTGAAAGTTTTTTTTTTAAAAAGCTATATAAAATACTCTTATATTATAATTTTGCAGGTTGGAGACAGAGATTAATTAGAAAGCTGTCCCTCATGCTAACCATTGCAGTTTGGTTTCTTTTGGCACATCCTAAGCAGGAATCAAGAGTGATATTCAGATTCTTTGGTGAGGAAAAAGCATTACCTCATTCTTGGTTCATGTTTCCTCAGTCTGTGGAAAAGCAGAAAACATCACCTTTCAGAAGACAGTGACCTCTACCAGGTGGCCTTGGCAAGCAGCAATATATCGGACAGTTAACGGGGTAAAGGAGAACAGTCTCCGGAAAGGGGCCTGGATCCTTATCTGCAGTGGGGCCCTGGTGAACGAGCGCACTGTGGTGGTGGCAGCTCATTGCGTCACTGACCTGGGCAAGACCATTGTGCTCAAGACAGCAGAACTCAAGGTGGTTCTGGGGAAATTCTACAGAGACGATGACAGGGATGAAAAGGCCATCCAGAACCTGCGGGTAAGTAGGTCTGCTGGGAGTGGAAAATGATGAGAACAGACAGATGCTTATCACATCTGTCTTGCATGGGGAGAAAAAGATTATCCTTTGACCAATATATTGTTTTACATACTCTTCTTTGAAATGTGTATCTAGAGATTCAACTGACAGAACTGTCATGGCACAAGGAAGGCACATGCTGTAGTTCATTCAAGTCCCTTGACATTGTCCTACTTGTACGTTCACCCCCTAACACAGATCACTAATAAACAGCTCAGATTCCATAGGCCATAATGTCTTGAGTGATATTGCCAGAAAAAAAGTAGGAGAGATGCCAGCTACTGTCAAAAGTGATCAGCATAATTTATGAGGGAAACACTTGTGCTCTGGATCCTGGTTTGATGCCATGAGTGCATTTCACATCTCAGCCCCAAGGCTGTACAGCTCTAAACTCAAAAGAAGTTTATGTCTGATTCCAGCTCCAGAAATAGCACCTCAGGCTCACCAGAGTTGTTTGTTGTCTTCATGTAGAACTAGAAAGGTTGAAGTCAAAATGAGGACAAATATAGCAATTTTGGCTGCATGTCTCTTCTTCTGGAGTGGTGAAAGAATAATTTGGGAATGGAGGGTAGAGGACAACTATGCAAAATAAACTACCATGTATTATAGTAGTATAGAAAGAGTGTTGCTGACTTGCCATTGCTGTTAATTCTACAATTCTTCCTACTCTGTTTCCTCCTCAGATTTCTGCCATCATAGTGCATCCCAATTATGACCCTATATTACTTGATTCTGACATAGCTATCATAAAACTCTTGGACAAAGCCAGAATTAGCAGTCGTGTTCAACCCATTTGCTTGTCATCTTCTCATGACTTGACTTCATCCACAGAGGATTTAAAAATAATGGTTACGGGCTGGAAGGTATTGGCTGACATTAAAGATCCTGGATACAAGAATGACACAATCCGCATGGGAGCTGTTCGGATGGTGGATTCACTGTTGTGTGAGCAACAGTATGAGGATAATGGGATACAAGTCAGCATCACTGACAGCATGTTCTGTGCCAAGCAAGACCACTCAGCCTTTTCTAATATCTGCCCTGCTGAGACTGGTGGGATTGCAGCCATAACTTTACCAGGAAAAGCATCTCCTGAGCTAAGGTGGCACCTGATGGGATTAGTGAGCTGGGGTTATGATAAAACTTGCAGCCTAGAACTCTACAGTGGCTACACTAAAGCTCTTCCCTTCAAAGACTGGATTGAGAAGAACCTGAAATAAAAAGCCGTGTCTGGAAATGGCATTTTCTAACTATCATAATATCTCTCTCAGTCTCTGCTACTTTAGGCTTCTCATCCCAGTGATGAGCCATATCTGGGATAAGGTTAAGGCAGATAGCCTGGTAATTTGCCCTAGGATCAGATGTTCCATCAGGCTACTTTTAAGTAACCCATGACAGAGAGGGTCTTAGTGCATGAGAAGTTTTGCCATATTTTGCCTGTCTCCCCTTGTGGAAGGATGATGCTCTGCTCCTGATCTGACATACAGAAAAAAGACAGCAAATTCTGATTGAAATTAATTTGTAGTGTGGAGTCCCCTAGAGAAAGCAACAGCAAGCCTCTCCCAAAGATCTGTGTGACTAAGCAGATTAGGAGGCTGGAAAGAGTAGCCTGAATTCATTATGATGGATGAGCTTGTTATGGTATGTGCTGTCTATATTGCCATAGTACAATGTAATCTTTTACCCTCCTAAGTACTTTACACATTTAAATAAACCATGGTTTGTTTTTTCTAACCTACACACCCACGTGTGACATTATTTACATTGCTTGTTGCCTTATCTGTGTCATTCTCTACTGCCCCTGTCTTATGACTCTTGAATATGACTCTCTTGTCTTATGCCCTTGCATATAACTCTCACTTGGGACTCTTCAGGCACACTGAAAGGCAGAGTTAGCACAAAATTCAATTACTACATAAATAAAAAGATTTTTTTTTTTTCTTAATACATCCAGTGCTGCTATTGTACAAGAACCATTGCAGTGAAATGTACAGGGGTGTTCTCTCCCACCTTGTATTCTGAAGAGATGAAAACCTGAAAGATACTTTAAAAACATTTTTCCATGAAAACTGCAGGAAAACTTCTGGTTTCTATGAGTGCACACACTTTTGTGGCAAAACAAGTCCTCTGTAGCTCTTGAGGGTGAAGAATAATGTTCAGCTCTCACATTTAGCAGAGTTTTTTCTTGACTGGACTGTTTGACATCAAAAGATTCTCCCACTGGGCATGGAGACACTCATGGTCCTTAATCACTGCTCTTTCACTAAATCATTCTCTATTCAGTTGTGGCTAAAGACTAGAGATGAGCCCTAGAAAAAGTTGGGGAGAGACAGGGAATGTCTACCATCAGTAATGACTCTTGGATAAATCATCTATGATACCCTAGCCTATTGCATGGCTATGGCAATTGTAAGCTAACAACTCTGATTTCAGCTCTGATTCTCTGATGCTGTGAAATCTTATTAAGAGTTTCTTAGCATTCAGTAGTTTCCACCCACTTTTGCATCTGAAAATTGCCGCTAAAAGGGTAGTTAGTATTGGAGGTCATTCCATGTAATTTATTTTTTGCTTTCCTGGGCAGAAAGACTTAAAGCATTATGCTTTTGCAGTTTTCTTACTTTCAGGGCTACAACCAAAGTATATTATTTCTCTTTATCTTGTTTGTCTGTCTCCTCCTGCCAGGAGATTATGCTTGGCTGACAAACTGCATGGCAACAACAGCAACAAAAATTCTGAATTAAATGCAAAAAATAAGATGTATTTCATTTCTCTGCTGGGAGGAACATGTGCCAGTGAATGTGTGGTACTCCCCTGCTGACAGAAGGGGTTAGAGGAAATTAGGTGACAGTTTTGCAGAAGGGCAAACTTGCAGAAAGTCAACATGTGTTTTTTCCTGTTGGAAATGGGTGATTTAGGCTGCATAAAGAATCACCACCAAAGATATTAGAAAAAAATAATAATATGAATTTGTAAAAAGCGCTGCTTAACAGAATTAGATGGTAAGGTTCACTCTATCACCTATTCAGCATGGAAAAAGCATAAAAAGGAAAATCAAATTAGAATTGGGCTAGAATGATTTACACATGGATCAGAGGAAATGGTTTATCCAGGGTCAGGGAAATTGGGTCAGAATTGGGTTGGTGTGATTTATATACGGATTAGGGAAATTGGGGAAAGAAGATGAGGGAGACCCTCCCGTTAGGTCACAAGGTTCAGAGTGGACCCCCTCGCTTTCTAAAATCCTTCTCAGAGAGTAGACTAGGTGTGGCTGAATCCACTCAGTCCCAGACTTAATCAATGGTTTATATCTAAAGGGATTAGGGGCAGGGATTTCAGTGTGATGATTTAATATATGATTTTGTGTTTTGTATAACTTTAGCAGCAATTAAATGTGGAAAGCAGAAATTTAAAATTATTTAACACTATTAAGATAAACCAAAAGATTAGATTATATAATTTTCTAGCAGAACTTCATTCATTGATAATCAACAATTTGTTATGATTAACACAACAACTTAGTTGAATACTTAATAAAGTTTTTTGAAAAAATCAAATTGCATACACACAGAAATATAGATATAGAGATATATAAAGGTGTACCTGTTAAAAATTCCCCTTGAGTTCAGTGAAATATTCACGTTGAATGCCTTTGCATTTCTCAATGAGCAAGGGTTGACCCCCCTCAAGAAGTGGGGGTTTCAGCCCAGGTCCCGTTCATCTTTGGTGATGATCCTCCAAACTTCTCAAACTTGAGAGATTGTGGGTGGCCCACTCAGAGGGAGATGCTGGTTGCAGCTCAGTGTGGTCCAGGAGAGCTCAAAGGGCTTCACTTAGGACCACTCTTTATAGGGTTGTGAGATGACTGATGACTGTAGGCATCTATTAAATTCCATCCTGGCCACAATCCAGGTCGGTAATTACTGGAATTCTCAAATTTCCAGTAATGCTGGTACCGATCTACCCGAGTCAAGATTAGATAAGATATGTTCCAGGGCTATCAGGGGATGATTAGTTATTCCTGCTCTCATTCCCCACCTTGCCCAGGCAACCGAATTACTGGTATGGTCAGTGCCATTCCCCACCTTAGCTGTGCAAGAGTGCTTGGTATGGTCAAGTGATTCTTAACTGCCAAACTCATTGCACAAGGGCCACGGCTTAAGAGGAATTCCTAAGGTCATAGAACAGTCCAGGAGCAAGGCGAGGAGAGGGAATGCACCACCATGCTTCCTAACGCTATTGATGAAGATTGAAATGAGAAAGGAATAGAATTTTTTACTGGAGCCTGGCTTGCCCAGTCAGAGCTCTTCCATGATTACATTCAATGAGAGCCTCTAGATGCTAATGGTAAGAGAAATTATCTTGTAAAACAGAAACCATAAAGGTCTGTGAGCTGATTCTTTTCTCAGTTAGGACTCTGTGAATGCATTGTTCTCTATTGCATTATTGTTCTCCACTGCTACAATTGAGAGAGAAGAAGAGGTCCTAAATACTTTTTTCTCCCTCTAGGATTTGTCTAGTAGGGAACTAGGCAGTCCACACAGATGTGTAAAAGCCTTTGTTATTTCCAGCTTTAGCCTTCATTCTTCTCTTTTTACTAAAGATCAGCCACGCCTGGCATTTACTGATCCTCTAAATCCTCCTCGGTGTTGAATCCCATCCCCATTTGCCTTCAAACCACTCACACATCTGTCAACAAATAGCTGAAAGTTTCTGGGCTTGGGCAGCAACAATATAGCTGTTCACTGGCTATATATCATGCAAAAGTATATTCTTGAAGAGAAACTTGAAGGAATTCATGGAATGAAAATACAGGAGGAGGTTGCTACAGCTGTGCATGCACAGCAGAATTCAACTCTCCTTTTTACAGTCATGATGCTCTTCAAAGAAAACAGAAGCAAGAAAATGGCTAGGCTTCTCTCAACTCCAGGATTCAGATTTTAGCATAGTCCTTTACAGAAAGAGGAATTAGCTGTAGCATTTTTTTCTACATCTGGACCTCAGTGATGTTTGAATCCTAAATTCAATTCTGGCTAATCTTTAAAGGCAAATATAATGTTTTGTTTCTATTGTTATATGACATATGTATTCACATGTACACGTAGGCAGTCATATCAACATATCCAAGCACCTGTACCATGCCTAGTGTTTGTAGGAATTACAGATCAGCTAGTCCATCCTGTCTGGCAGGCTAACCCACAGTAGTTCCATACTTACAGCCTGAGCAGAACAGGGGTTAACATCTAATGACAGTAATGAGGAAAAATAGGGGATGAATGTTTGAAAAAACCAGCCTGTGCACTGGAATCACTAATCCTTTTGATAGCTAGGATCTATTTTTAAGATGCAAAACTATTTCAAACATGCCTTTCTAAACAGGTGAGTATCTATGCCATCTGTTGGAGAAAGGGTATGAAATAACACAACATGGACAGAAACACATCTCCCCTCCAAAGAAAAGAGCTGTGCATTCTGGAAAGGCCATAAAGATATTGCTATGAAAAAAAATCACAAAACAGTCTCTGCATTCTTACTCACTCCAATGGATTTATACCTCTCCCTTTGTATGTTTTTGGGGCTGGGAATGCATTAAATTACTTCCAAAAGCCAGAGTCCTTAGCTGAAAAATAGCACTCTAAGGAAATGGACAAACTGAAGTACATGCTTTCCTCAGACATACCTTCAGTAACTGGCATGGAATTGCGCTGGTAACTTGTTTCCCTCAAAAACCTATTTGAATAGGACTAGGGAATGCATACTAAGCTGCATCCTGACATTTTTAAGGACAGGTACTGGAACAGGCTTAGTTGCAGGAAAGCTGTCCTGGGGGAGCAGAGTTGTGGACAGGATTGGGCAGCCTTTGCTTGGCTGTGCACACCCTGCAGCCTCGCAGCTCCTTACCATGGCAGGGAGCTTCCTGCATGGCTGCTGGCTTTCTGTGACACCTTCTCGGTGCAGATGGAACAGGCTATGGCAGAAATGTTTGTTCCCTGTGAAACGGGACATCAGGTTGGTCAGACTTGGATGGAAGGACAGCACTGAGGTTGCCAGGCAGAGCCTCAGTTGGCGGAAACTGAAGCAAAGGTGCATGATACTTTATTGACATGGCATGAGTGCCCGTGCCCCTGCACAAGAGTGTGGTTACCAAATGGGACAAGAACTTCCTGCCCTATGCTGCAAACATGGTCTGGCTGCAGCTTGCAGGCCACGCAGTGGGCTGCCAGGCCAGCTTGTGGCTGGTTGCAGGTTCTGATAAATTCCAGCATAAACCGTGCTGCGGTTCCCAAGAGTGCTGAAGTAAGGAGGAGGGGTCGCACTGTACTCCCCTGTGAGCCCAGCTGCTGCCGAGTACCCGTCCAACCCTCCCTGCTCCGGAGAAGCGCATGCCAGGGCGGCCGCGGCCCAGCCCATGCCCCCGGCGGCCA